CGGAAAGCACTAAAACAAACCATCGCTTCAACTCAGTTTTGTTTTTCCCCTCACCATAAAGCACTATCCCCTCCAGGTATTCAGAGAACGTCGCTTATTGTTCTCGGACCGTGCTTTGAGCCACATGTTCAATCACACAAACAACAGGTTGTACACACGAACTGACATGCACATGAAAGCACGCCTCCTCATCGAAAAGGTCATCCTTTTCACACCAATGGGGAAAATCGTACCGATCATATCGGCTTGCATATCTGAGTCAGAGTGAGAAAGACATCCTCACATCTGCATTGGATCGACAGCTTGGTCGGTCCCCCCAGTCTTAACCGAGTTGTCGTGACAATGCAACACTCCAACAATCTTCTTAATCAATCCACCAACCATCTTGTCGGCCTTAGTGGAGAGATCTCTGAAGCCAAGGCGCTTCACTCTGTCAACCTTCATTCTAGACGGCTCGTCTGCAAGATTTGCAGGGGATGCAACTCGACTGTACCATGGTAATATACCATGTACATACTCAATGAAGTTGGCCTCGTCCACAAGAATGCCTGCCACTCCTTTCTTGGAGTTCCCAGCAACGAATGCAAAGCGCGCGGCATCATTATCGATAAAGCATGTAACTCCTACTCCGGCGGTGGCTCCCGATTGGCGATAAGAGTCTGCAAAGGCGACTGTCTCTTCAGCGAGGAGTTTCAAAGCAATCAGAACTCCGAACATCTCCAACTCATAAATGATAGTCTGTTCATCACAAGCTGACAGCTGTTGAACTTGTTCCTCTGAGATAGGGACTGAGAAGAAAGATATCGCCGAACCTGCTCCTGTAAGCAGGACTCCACCAAGGCCTCCGGTCCTTGTTTCCCTATGATACGCTGCATCGGAGAGAAGCATGAATGTCCGACATGAAACTTGGCCAACCAATCTAGGTTGTGCACAACTCAAGAATTTGCAAAATTCTTCGAGCCTCTGTCTGGCCTGGGACCCAAGCAATTTATGCCCAGAGTAAGCGTGACGTGTCACTTCTGCCAAGCATCGTCGACCTAACCTACCGAAGAACTGGGCTTGGGCGAATTGCAAACGACCCCGGAGTTGAAGCGCATCCTTCTGGGGCAGCTGACCCTGGGTCAAGATCTCTTGGATCGACTCCATCAGCTCTTTCCTTCTTTTCTCCGTGTTAGTAATCCTAAGGACTCCTGAGCCAGTTTGGTCAATCTCAAACAAGACTCCCAAGGCCTCAAAGCTGGTGTCCCAGTCAGTCGTTTTGTCATCGGACAATCGCCAGCCCAACAACTTCAACACCTCATGGAAGGTCCTAGAACAAGAAGTTCGGTCACCTTCGAGAGCAACCAGGACAAAGTCGTCGAAGTAGTTTGTGGTTGGAATCTTTGCTCCCACAACCAAAATCGTCCACAGAGCTCTCGCAACCCTCAAGAAGCAATAAACTGCCTTCGTCGAACCAAAAGGAACCGCTAGCTGTCTGAACAGCTTAGCCTTTTTCGTCTTGGGATCAAACACAGCCAGGTACGAAAACCTTAGACTGTCGTCCGAGATGGCCAATTGTCTGTAAGCACTCTTCAAGTCGGCAGTTTTGCCGAAGACATGATTTAGACCCTTGCACCTCGCCACTTTCAACAGTCTGGTAATCAACAACGCAATCTCATCAATCGAATGTGTGACTGGCTTCTCAGACACAGAGACTGTGTCATTAATCAAACTTGATGAGTAATTGTCAATTGGCCTCAGCTTGGTCCCTTGCATCAGAGGAAATCTCGAGCTCACCAAACAACCGGGAGGCAAAGCGTCGAAGTCAAAAGGTCCTTCAAGATACCC